TCAGTAGACCTACTCCGAGGAACCAAGATGCATCAACTGACAAATTTTGATGATTCTAAGCCAAATATTACCAGAAAATATTAAATAGAGCCATAAAATTTCAGAAGTAGGTCACAGTGACCTACTTTTCAGTTGATGTACTCCAAAGACCCAAGATGCATCAACTGAAAAATTTTGATGATTCTAAGCCAATTAATACCTGAAATATTTAATTATAGTCATATAAATTTTCAAAAGTAGGTCACAGTGACATACTTTTCAGTCGACTTGCTCCGAACACCCAAGATGCATCAACTGACAAAGTTTGATCATTCTAAGCCAATTAGTTCCCAAAATATTTAATTATAGTCATATAAATTGAAAAGTAGGTCACGGTTGACATTTTTCGAGGACCCAAGATGCATTAATTTACAAAGTATTATGATCATAGGCCTTAAAATGTCCAAATTATGCCTCTAAAACGCTTTGAAATTGAATGCCTGCAAAGTTCAAAAAGTAGGTCACTGTGACCTCCTTTTCAATAAATATGTTTTATGGCCCCAAGATGCATCATCTTACAAGATTTAATGATTCTAAACCTCTCAGTATTGGAATTAATGACCTTAATTGTTTTTTTGAAAAAGATTAGCCATAAAGTTCAAAAAGTAGGTCAAGGTGACCTACTTTTTAGTCGACGTACTCCAAAGACCCAAGATACATCAACTGACAAAGTTTGATGAACATAGGCCTTAAATTGTTCAAAATATGCCTCTAAATCATTTTGAAAAAGAATGGCCACAAAATTTCAAAAGTAGGTCATCGTGACCTACTTTTGAGTCAACATGATATGAGGTTCCTTAGATGCATCAACTTGTACAAGATTTGATGATCCTAGTCCTTATAGTAAGCAAAATATCAACATTTTAATAATAATGTAATTTTTGGTCAACTTTGAGGTGACCTTGAGACCAAGCCCTTTGCCCCAGGGTGATGCCTTGAACAATTTTTAATCTACAACATATCCTTATCTTTTTGTGTAAGTTTGGTGATAATCTGCCCAGTGGTTCTTAAGAAGATTTTTTAGCAACCAGTACTTCTGTTTCTATTTTCCTAATTATCTCCCCTTGTTTAAGGGTCACAACCCTAGTTTTAATACAAACGTGAGTCCTTGGGCCAAGGATACCCTGTGACAAATTTGACAATAATTGGCCAAGGGGTTCTTGAGTTACGGCCCATATTCTAAAAAGTTTACGCACACCGCACAAATGGCCATAGCGTAAGCTCTTTGAGCCTTTGACTCAGAAGAGCTAAAAAAAAGAAATGAAAATATCTTAATTTTAAAAATAAAAGACTTGCCATCCAATAACTATTTATGTTAATTAGACAGACTATCAATTGCAATTGAGAGAGTTAAGAGACCAGATCTTTATTCTTCTGTCCAATTCCCATGAGATATAGATACCACCTGTTTGATCAGAGATGCTCTAACGGAAATGAATAAGACAGCGTTTGCACACTGCACTCATTAATTAATGAATGGATGTAAACTATCTGCTGAGTGATGACCTGTCAAGTCTGCATTTTTTTAGTGCAATATAAATGCATATTTATGTCATTGCTGTGAAAAACTTTTTTTAAATTTGTAACATAGCTTTATATAATGGAAAAAAACTGTGTAGTCTTGATGTAACATTTTTAATAAGGGAGAGTTAATAATAATATTTTAAATAACTTTTGTAGGGATTATCTACCACAAGACTTTTTAAAACCTTGGTGATTTTTTTTAAAAGTTTGAAGGACCTGGTTTTAAGCTACAGTTCACATTATTCTACAAATATTCCAACTGGCGGTTTCTTGATTCACAAAATGACTAGGTTAAAAAATGAAACCAGAAGTCTCTGTCAAGACTGTAGCTCTATTTGTTTGTACTTATAACAATTAAGGAAGAGAAAAGTAGCTCTTGGATTTGAAACTTTGCAATGACAATAAATAAATAGTAATCCTTGTTTTTTTTGTGGCAAGATGAATTGCAATCAGAGTAAAATGGTAGAAGGAGTAGCCTTTTAAAAGAATTTTAGAGAAATTTCGATTTTAGTTACCATGGCAACATTATTCATCAAAATAAAAAAACAATAAAGACAATTATGTATCTCAGAGTAGTCTACTTGCATGCCATGTTATATTAAAATCAGACCAAACTGTAGGCGAACTAATGTTTTGAAAGTATATCAAAAAAATTCAATTTTTTGTAACCATGGCAACACTTCACCAAAATCAAAAAAATTGATATACAGAATTATGTATCTCAGTGTAATCTACTTGTGTGCCAAGTTATATTGAAATCAGGCCAAAACTGTAGGAGGAGTAGCATTTTGAATGTATTTCAAAGAAATTTCTATTTTTAGAAACCATGGCAACACTGTTCACCGAAATCAAAAACGGATACACAGAATTATGCATAGGGATGCGCAATTTTATAGGTATACAGGTATATTGCGATTTTTTCTTACGTGATACGTATCGTGTAAAGGAGACTAAAATACCGGTATTTAGTACATAACTATAAATTCCGGAAATTATTCATTTATTTGTTCAACTATTGAATCACAATTATCTAGGAATTGTAAAAAATGCTGAAAATAGTTAAACAATGGCATCCAAACATTAAAAACTAAAGTTATGTTTTTATAGAATATTTCAAAGAAATATTTCAGAAATTCATTTGAAATTGTAGTAAAAATTGTGTGTAAAAATATCATGATTTTTCGTGATATTTTTGGGAAAAAATCGTGATATATCACGATACGAAATTTTTGCTGATACCCATCCCCAATTATGCATCTTAGTTTATTCTACTTGTGTGCCAGGTTATATTGAAATCAGACCAAAACTGTAGGAGGAGTAGCATTTGGAATGTATTTCAAAGAAATTTCTATTTTTAGAACCCATGGCAACACCGTTCACTGAAATCAAAAACTGATATACAGAATAATGTATCTTAGTGTAGTCTACTTGTGTGCCAAGTTATATTGAAATCAGGCCAAAATTGTAGGAAGAGTAGCATTTCAAAATTATTTCACAGAAATTTCTATTTTTAGTTACCATGGCAACACCGTTCCCCTGAAATCAAAAATCAATATATAGAAAAATGTATCTTTGTGTAGTCTACTTGTGTGCCAAGTTATATTGAAATCAGACCAACACTGTAGGAAGAGTAGCATTTTGAAAGTATTTCACAGAAATTTTTATTTTTAGTAACCATGGCAACACAGTTCAGTGAAATCAAAAACCGACAAAAAGTATTATGTATCTTAGAGTAGTCTACTTGTATGCCATGTTATATTGAAATCAGACCAAAACTGTAGGAGGAGTAGCATTTTGAATGTATTTCACAGAAATTTCTAATTTTAGTAACCATGGCAACACCGTTCATTGAAACAAAAAACGATAAAAAGAATTATGTATCTTAGTATAGTCTACTTGTGTGCCGAATTATATTGAAATCAGACCAAAACTGTAGAAGGAGTAGCATTTTAATAAATTGTTTACAGACAGACGGACGGATGACGGACACCTTACTATCGCATAAGCTCTTCTGGTCTCTGGCAAGTAGAGCTAAAAAAATAACAATTAAATGAAGAAAAATTATCAAATCATGATGAAATTAACAGGTGTACATATTTATATAGTGACTTATGAATGTACAAATTTTCAGACAAATACATGCAATGGTCTGCAGGCATAAAATCATGTCTACAGACATAAAAAAAAAATTGTGTTGATCCTAAATTTAAAAAAAAAAATATGATGATGAGGGACATTGTATAGGAATTTTTTGAATGACCCTCATAATATCCCTTAAATCATGACTCTGCTGTTCATGAGAAAAAGATTATCAAAGATTTTTCATGTATATACCTCTATGTTAAATCTTGATCTTTTATCATGGACCCACATTATAACCTGAGGCCAGAGGGTAATGATTTAAACAAACTTAAATCCACACAATGATGACAGGATGTTTTCATATTAATAATTTTCATTGTTTCTGTCCCAGTGGTTCTTACGAAGAACATTTTCCAAGAACCATTTCATCTTCACTTGATATCCCTTAAAGAGAGCATGGTCTTTTCCCAAAACAAACTTAAATCCCCTCTAGCATGTTAGGCTGAAGATGCTTTGTAGCCAAGTGGATCTAAAGAAGTTGATAATATGAAAAGTTTAAAGACAGACAAATGAACATGGTTAAGTTTGTATTTAGCTTGTATTTTGAAATTTACTTTTTCTGCTAGTTACCTTGAGCATGCCAAAATGACTTTGGTCACGGTTTTCAAGTACCCAAAGATCAATAAAAAATATAATCATCTTTCTGCCTTTAAAAAAACCTTCAAACCTTTTACACTTTTTCAGCAAGGTGCTTTGAACTTGCAAAATTGTCTTGGGTCAAGGTCATAAACTATCATGGGTCAGGAGAAATCCATGTGTAAAGTATAATCCTTGAATATTTTTTTTTGTTATGAACAAGATATAAGTACAAATATTTTTCTGCTTACAACATTGAATTAGCCCAATGATCATGAGTCATGGAATAACACACGGGGTCTTGAGTAATCTTTGCTTGAAGTACAAATTGAACTGCCAATGTTTAGAACCCCTTTAGATAGTTATAGACCAGACATGATGTTTTTTCTTGCCAGTGACCTTGAACTTCTCAAATGTCTTTGGATTTATGGGACTACAAACTCTCAGGTTATGAGCAATTTTAATGTCAAAAATGAAGTATCAGTGTTTTTTTTCTCAATCACAGTTATTATGGGCTGAATACAAAAATTATGCAAGGGTGCCAGACAGACTTGATGATACCTGTAAAATATACTTGTCTTCCCAAACTTTGTTTGCATGGGGACTTATCAATGCAAAATTAACATGATAAAACAGAGTAGATGTACATCTTAAAATGATTTTGGCTATCCCAAATTCATACATGTACTATCAACCACTTATATATATAAAGCACTTACATTTTGAGAGATATTGTCCTCTGTTGTTGGTGGTGAAATTTGTCTTTTCGCTGTCATAGAGGAGGAGGTCTGTTTATTGGTCTCTGACTGTGATGGAGCCCCTAAATCTCTCTCACATGGTGGGTCTACAATTTGTTCATCAGAATTCTCCATCTGAACTGCACTGGCATCATTATTAGGAGCTTTAGTCTCTAATGGAGATAAAGTTGTTGAGGTTGACAGAACTTCCTGAGAGCTCAAAACTTGCTCCTTTCTTTGACTTGAAGTACTTTGAGTTGTTATACTTTGTCTTGTAGTAGCTTCATTTGTAGTACTTTGACTTGAAGTACTTTGTGTTGTAGTACTTTGGCTTGTTAAACTTTGTATTGTAGTAGTTTGATTTTTAGTACTTTGGCTTGAACTACTTTGCGTTGTAGTACTTCGGCTTGAAGTAACTTGATTTGAAGTACTTTGATTTTCTAAATTTGGAGCTAAAACTGACACTCCTGAAACTGGGTTTGTTGTGAGATTAAGTTGGTTGACACTGTGACTAGGGTTTGATAAGTTTTGTGAGTACACCAACATAGGACTTCCAGTGACTGGGTTTATCATTAATGCTAGATTTAGGGGTGGTTGTTGTGCTTGGAAACTAGGCAACACAGAAATTGGACTTTGTGGCACAGATTGATAATAATTGGTATGCAGGGATTGTGGAAAAACATTACAAGTGGTGGACAATTTATTCTGGAATCCTCCTAATGCCTGAATCCTGGTAGTTTGGTCTGCACTTGGTGGTAAATTCAGTGGTAATGAGGTATTTAGGTTGGCACTTGAATATCCTGGTCCTTGAGTTTGTGAAACACTAAAATCTGTTGGTTCTGATTTCACTGGAAAAAATTGCTGTTGACCAAGAGGTGACTTGATTTCACTGATACCAAACTGATTCTTAGGTTTTCTAGACTCTGCCAGAGTATTGTAACTTTGAATTGCATTTAAAGTTGTCAGCCCTGTCTGTCCAGAAACAGAGTTGTTCATTGGTTGAGGCACTTCTACAGCTGAACTTGTGTCACCAACAATTGTCTTCACAGAATTCAGACAATTAAAGCTTGTAACTGACAAATTTAGATCTGTAGATTTTCTCGACATGTCTGATTGACTTGTCACATGACCCTTTAAGTCTGTAGCATCCTTTGAATGGCTGTGTGTGGCCATCTGAATTGATGAAAAGTCTTTGGTGGATTTTGGTTTGACATTGGAATGTGGATTGAGGGGTGAACAATCTTCCTTGCCTGCTGTAGAGGAACCTTTTAAGAGCATCTCAGGAGAACCTGCTTTACTAAGAATCTCTTGAAAATCATCTTGTTCTTCTTTTATATTAACTTCCTGAAAATAATAAAAAGATATGACTTCTTTATCAAATAGCTTCACATTTCCTATTGCTAGATTTCACAGGAACATAGCAGGATAACAGACAGAGCAAAACAAAAAAAATTCGACTTTTAAAGAAATCAGATAATAAAACTAAAATGACCTGCAGGCCAAAAATTAAATGCATCCCTTAAAATAACTTAAAACATATCTCTGATAATTGACACTTACAATATTAATTCCCACCACTGGATGTGACAACTTTAGGAGAATGAAATATTACAATAAACTGTTCTAGAATTAAGGAGGGCCAAATATTTTCCTTCAATTCAATATTTTTAAAACTTTGTCCTAAAATACAAATCTTGCTTTATGTGTAATATGAAAGAAATTTACCCACAAATTTCTTTCAAGTTATCTCAAACTTGATGGGACTGAGAAAAATCTTCCAGATATCTGTGATTTTGAGATATTAGGGGTAAAATACTGGAAGAATAAGTGGTTAGGTCTTCCATATCACTTTGACATATTCTTGGTATTTGAGACTTCTTTGTTTGAAATATCGAAGATGAACTTTACTATATACATGTATGTGGTTATGTGCTGTTTATAGGGGTAACTTTTTTAAAACTAAATTTCAGTAAAATATATTGAGGCCAGTGCATTTGAGTATATATTGTTATGAAAAACATATAGAGCTAAGGAATAGCAAATTCACATGAAAATAACAAGTTACTGTTCTTGTAACATTAAATCACTCACTTCTCCACTTTCTGTATCAGAATTACTGTTCTTGATACTCTACATAACCCACCTCTCCCCTTTCTGTATAAGAGTTACTGTTCTTGTTACACTCACCTCTCCACTTTCTGTACCAGAGTTACTGTTCTTGTTACACTCACCTCTCCACTTTCTGTAACAGAGTTCTGTTCTTGTTACACTCACCTCTCCACTTTCTGTACCAGAGTTACTGTTCTTGTTACACTCACCTCTCCACTTTCTGTATCAGAGTTACTGTTCTTGTTACACTCACCTCTCCACTTTCTGTATCAGAGTTCTGTTCTTGTTACACTCACCTCTCCACTTTCTGTATCAGAGTTACTGTTCTTGTTACACTCACCTCTCCCCTTTCTGTATAAGAGCTACTGTTCTTGTTACACTCACCTCTCCACTTTCTGTATCAGAGTTACTGTTCTTGTTACACTCACCTCTCCACTTTCTGTATCAGAGTTACTGTTCTTGTTACACTCACCTCTCCACTTTCTGTATAAGAGTTACTGTTCTTGTTACACTCACCTCTCCACTTTCTGTATTAGAGTTACTGTTCTTGTTACACTCACCTCTCCACTTTCTGTATCAGAGTTACTGTTCAGGGTTCTCATTAACGCAAGAATCTGCGTCTTAGACGCAGCAAAATTACTTGGGATGCAAGGTTCTTGAAAACGATGCGTCCGCAGACTCATGATAGAACGCGTCCTCATTAGCGAGAAAATTCGGGTAATTTCAGAAACGGGGAATTTAGATGTTGGGATTTGTCAAAGAAATATTTAATCGAAACCTTCCTGTAACTATCATAAAGTTCATCCAAGAAATAACTTTTCTTGCACTTATTTCTCTTTTCTTTTAAACAGGGATTGATCATAATTAAGATACTTCATGTTTATTAGTCCATAGTCATAATAATGTCGCATGCCAAACTCCGACAGCTGTAAACACACTGCAGCTTTTTTTTTTAAAAACACACACTTTTGAATCTTGAGTGTTATCTACATGTAGAAACCATAATTACTGCTTGTATACACATCTCGTGAATTTCACCCAGTGCAGACGACCGACAGGATTAGTTACGCCTCATTGCACATGACACCTGTGATTGTATACAGTCAAGTTTCGGGTACTTGTTGATTATGCAACAGTTAATTTTAGCTTTATGAACACCAAGTTAATTTTTATGGCAATTGATTATGCGTGTATTTTAGAATATGGCTTGAATGCATTACCAGTTTATATACTTGAATATGTTAATATTGCGTAAACAAACTGATAAAATGATAAAGATTTATATTGATGTTTGGATGGAGGGATACTGCAATAATTTAGTTGGGACTCAACATAATTATTCTGGGACGCATCAAATTTAGCTGGGACGCAACCTTCTCAGAAATCTTGAGTCCTGGGACTCAAGTTAGCAAAATCCTAGTGAGAACCCTGACTGTTCTTGTTACACTCACCTCTCCACTTTCTGTATCAGAGTTACTGTTCTTGTTACACTCACCTCTCCACTTTCTGTATCAGAGTTACTGTTCTTGTTGCTCTCACCTCTCCATTTTCTGTATGAGTTACTATTCTTGTTACGCTCACCTCTCCACTTTCTGCATCAGAGTTACTATTCTTGTTACTCTCACCTCTCCACTTTCTGTATCAGAGTTCTGTTCTTGTTACTCTCACCTCTCCACTTTCTGTATCAGAGTTCTGTTCTTGTTACACTCACCTCTCCACTTTCTGTATCAGAGTTCTGTTCTTGTTACTCTCACCTCTCCACTTTCTGTATCAGAGTTCTGTTCTTGTTACTCTCACCTCTCCATTTTCTGTATGAGTTACTATTCTTGTTACTCTCACCTCTCCACTTTCTGTATCAGAGTTCTGTTCTTGTTACTCTCACCTCTCCATTTTCTGTATGAGTTACTGTTCATGTTACACTCACCTCTCCACTTTCTGTATCAGAGTTACTGTTCTTGTTGCTCTCACCTCTCCATTTTCTGTATGAGTTACTATTCTTGTTACGCTCACCTCTCCACTTTCTGCATCAGAGTTACTATTCTTGTTACTCTCACCTCTCCACTTTCTGTATCAGAGTTCTGTTCTTGTTACTCTCACCTCTCCACTTTCTGTATCAGAGTTCTGTTCTTGTTACTCTCACCTCTCCATTTTCTGTATGAGGTACTATTCTTGTTACTCTCACCTCTCCACTTTCTGTATCAGAGTTCTGTTCTTGTTACTCTCACCTCTCCATTTTCTGTATGAGTTACTGTTCATGTTACACTCACCTCTCCACTTTCTGTATCAGAGTTCTGTTCTTGTTACACTCACCTCTCCACTTTCTGTACCAGAGTTACTGTTCTTGTTATACTCACCTCTCCACTTTCCATCTCAGATTCACTTTCTCCACTGCTTTCTTCATCCAGTGACTCTGCTCCATCTTCCACTAACATAACAAACATTTCAGTATGATTACACTTGGAAGTGAACAACATCTCGCTCATCTTTTTTTTTTTTTTTGGATCTTAATTTTAAGTCTTGATTTATTTTAAAATTAAATTTCAAATAATAACTCAAAATTTACTAGACCAGAAATGTAATTTGATGGCAGTGGGAAAGTATTACTATATTTCTGATAAACATAACTGTACCTTCCATGTGTAAACAGATGGATTTTTCACGATCTTCAGATGATGCATGATATTCTGAAATGAATGAATGACTGATCATAATTTGACTGTAAAAATTATGTAGGGGACTTTGTTGTCATAGAATCATAGAATGGTGGAATGAGTAGCTAAAAATCATTCTGCATCTTAATTGTTCCACACTCATGCAATAAGAAGCTGCAACTTAAAAGTTCTTGGCAGAATTAGCTTAGAAGAAGAATATTGATTGGGATTTATATATACAGCAATTTAAAGCCTTCTCTGTACTGTCAATGAAAATGAAAGGATTTATAAAGCTTTACTCATATGTCAATGACAGTTATTTAAGGAATAGCTGTCTAGGTTTTTTGGTTTTATGAGTGATCAAGCGAACTGGCTTGCATGATAATTTGCATTAATGCCAAAGACGTTTATGCATAAAATTATCACGCAAGCCAATTGCTTGATTATCATCATAAAACCCAGGAAACTGACAATTATTCCTTATATTAACATTATTCTGCAAATTCATGTGCTTGATCCAAGCCCTGCCCACTTCTCTCTTCTCTTCCACTCCCGCCCAGCACATAATTTTTTTTAACCACACCTTTTGATAAACCAATAGTTTTATGAAGAAATCAAGATTTTTTTATCATCTGTAGTTTTATCTCAGACAAATAAATTTTAAATGTAAATGTATTTGGATTTATATACAGTATTTTAAAGCTTTACTTGTACATGTGTACTGTCAATGCCAGTCATTTGGAATTATACACAGCATTATAGCCTTACCTGTACTTTCATCTCTCTCTATTGTCTCTGAATCTTGAGGACTGATGTCCACTTTTTCTGTCTCTGATCCTTGTGGACAGACAGCTGGTTTTTCAGTCTCTGTTTCTTGCAGACTTATATTAGACCTGCAATTAATAGTTAAAATATATACATTATATATATTACATGTATGTTAAGTCTGATCAGGCTACTGTCAACCCTCAGACAGTGCACATGAATCAAAAAACAAATTTTTCTCTGCAGTAACCTCTAGAATCCTTAGGAATCTCACTGCAAACTATGTTCTCATGGTAACAACAAAAGTTCACCAAAAATAAACTAACCGACGAATAACCTTGATTTTATGGAAGTTGCAGATAGTTAGTACATTAAAGGTTCATTATGTTAAAGATTTTCATTTTCCAGACTCCATTATGGAAATGGAACTAACATATGATGTCATGTGATGTCACACATATGGTTTGCAGAAGCAGACCTTAGTTATGAGGGAATTTAGGCTATCCATTAATTAACAAATGTGCTTGCCTAATTGGTTGCACCATCAACAAATTATCTTTTTCAACATTGTTCAAATGTCTTTGCCTAAGATAAAACAACAAATGAGGTAATATCCCCAAAGAGTGATTTGCTCAGCATGTCACCATGATGTCACAGAATTGCATTCTCATTGTGTTTTGCTTAGTACTAGATGGGGCTTGTAGAGATTTGAGGTGTGAGTCTATCATGATTGATAATGTACTAATGTATCTTTCATGCCTCTCTGTGGGCCCTTGATTGGAAATAAATATTGTCTACATTGTCTATAATTGTCTATACTGACAGATTTATTGAAGATCATCATTAAAATAAGCTTACATGATGCACAAATAATTATAGACAGTAATTTGATTTTAAATTTTATGTAAATGACTAATGAGTAAATACATGTACTCATTTGTTTAATTTTTTTTTTTTAATTTTAAAATTTGATTTTAGATTTTATGTAAATGACTTATGAGTAAATATTCATTTCTTTAATTTTAATTTTTTTTTCTCCCTACCTTACATGTATATAGGTGATGTTAATTAAATGTAGCTAAATACTGAACTTGCTGAATTTTTCTTCTTATTGAATCATTGATCAGGTAAAAATGAAAACAGTGTCAATAAGGAAAACCTTTATCTTTGCTTTGGTTTTATGATGGTGATCAATCATTTTTCTCGCGTGATAATTTTATGCATAAACGCCTTGCATTGATGCAAATTATCACGCGAGCAAACTGATTGATCACATTATAAAAAAAATGAAACAAAAAAAATCAATAAATAAATAAAGAACAGTCATTCCAAGTTGCAAATTTGATATAAATTTACATGCATGTATAATATATTTCGTAAGGAAACAATGTTTTTGCCGATGTAGGCCTATCTTATATGGGCCGACATATTTAAAATTTCGCGTTGGGGTCGAGGTGTCGTTTAGGCCTAATTAAAAGTCCCTGGGCCGTGGGCCGAGGTCAGCTGGGGGTGTCTGACATCCGAAATATCCACTTAATATTTCCTTGAAGCCAGTGAAGCATATTAAAACAAACATTTAAATATATTTCATTCATTACTTACTTTTCTAGGGGACAATCTCTACCACAGAATCGCTCGTGTACTTCAATAAGATGTTTCACCACGATATTGTCGTCTGCCCAGTAAAATCTGCCGATCAGTTTTTTGAATGCACTAGCTGCTTCTCCAGTTAAAATGTTTCTGTACCTATTCATCTCCAATATAAGTTCATAAGATCTTGAAATAGGTAAAAATAAGTTAAACGGTGTTAGAAGCTGCCAGACAGATACAACGCTTATTTACATTTTTTTTTGTTTAGATCGACGTCGGGATCGAGATTCTTCGGTGGAGGCTAATATCAGGGTGTTTTGTGGTGGCTTCGAGCATCATTCAAAATTATCTTTTTTTCCTTCTTACCCGACCCTAAATTCTTCAGTTGGATTACTGGGTTAATTAATATTTTTTTCCTGACATACGCTTTGAAAATTCACATTTAGAAATTAAAATTTAATAATTGCTTCATAAGTAGTTCGAAGAAGTTTAAAACTGAATAAATAAAATAAAATGCGCATATGTTACTCATTAATAAAAGATTTAACGTTAAATTCATTTACAATTATTGTTCAATTAAACATCCGCTTATTATAAACGTACTAACATCTTTTAGTCTTACATTTTAACAGGCTTTAAAACATCGTGAGTTAACTGATCCAACTGTAGAGACCGGTGATTGGGATGAGACCGACTTTGATTTATTTGTGGTCCAACCCTTCTCCTAGCGACCATGATTCGAACAAAATTAAATTTACACAACCTGAGAATTTTTTGACTAATCATGTCTTTACTGGACTTGAAATGAAAATACTTAAGATCGAGGAACATTAACTGGCAAAATTGGAAATATTTCCATCTGAACATCAACATTACTGACAGCAGGCCCGTACATGTAGAACGCGCGCGTGGGGGTGGGGGTGGGGGTGGGGGGGGTGTCACCCTATTTTTTTTGCTGTAAAGTGGAGCACTGACAAAATCCAGGATTTAGGCAGTTATTAGGCCAAACAAAAAATATGTGTGATTCCGGTTACATCTCCAAAAAGATTAGGGTAGATAGGTAGGGATTTTTTTTTTTTATTTTTTTTTTACAAAATGATTTTCTTAATTTTTCTAAATAATACCTATCACTGCTTTGCAAGTGGCATTTAGATGTGGCGTGATAATATACTAGTCAACAATGGTAAGGGACACCTACATGCTAGCTTGCATTGGATTTAACACTATTAAAAACTTGCACTATGTGTTGAATGATGTTTTGCAAGGAGGCCACCATTGCTGAAACTAAAACTTAAATACTGGAGCCCATGATGGAAATCGGGGAAGATTCTGGGAAAAAAAATGAAAATTGCCGGAAAAAAGTTTAGGGTAGGGGGTATAAAATAGGGACGGTCCGGTAAATTATTTTTGCTCGTCAGATTATTTTGGAAAGTTGCGCATGCCCCCCCCCCCATTTTTGAAACCGTTGCTACAGCTAGACCTGTGCAGTCAAAACATTTGATGATAGACAATGAAATGGGCGGGTACATTACGACACGGACGTCCGAGAAACCATTGGATTGAAATTTTAGTTCGAAATTCATTTTCAATCCACCTCAGCTACTTTCATACGCACAGTGTTACATGTAGAGATTGATCCAGAAGACAAAAAAAAAATAATGTCAATTTCGGGATAGTTTGAAATTTATGTAAATCAGGGTTTTCTGACCAATATTATTTAAAAATAAATAATAAGAGGACAACCATTTTCATCCGGAAGAGGGTTTACTTAGATCTATGAAATGAAAGTTTTTGAGTCTGGACCCCCCTTCCCTCCTCCCCGTTTTTTGTTGTCTATAATATTTTTCAGTGAAGAAAAAAATGTCGTTATCTTAGAAATAAATATACAATATATCCCGTTTTGTGATGTCATGAACAGATATAAACTTAACCCGCCTACCTTTAGAATCAAATGGATGTCCCCTGAGAGAGTGCATGTTTATCTTTGTAGCGGGGCCTTCAGCCATCATAGGAAAAAATGAGGCAAGTCCTCAGAAGAAGGTTCGAATATTTTATTATGACAAATTAAGAATAAAGATTAACGAAGACGACCTGTAATGAAAATGACATACAAACAAAAAAATCACTCACACTATATAATTATTTATTTAAATTCCAATTAGTTGAAGTCAGTTAATATCAACTTATTTCTTACCAGTTATATGACCAAGATTCCGTAAGAAATATCTTAGGTTAGCTAATCTGCATCCTAGTTGGTAGATTTCTCGCAGGAGAACATCAACCCATAAAGTAGTGTCCAAGTAAAAAGAAATATTCCTGCAGCAGTATTTATACTAGCACTCACACATGCGTACATAGCAACCACACCTCAGACTTATACTGGTTCTACCACTCTCACCCAGGAATCCACAATAGTCATAAGACAATCAATTGACATCACAACAAAACAATCACGTGACATTAAACACCTTACAAACAAGAATATAATACAAACACGATGACATTGACCAGGCATGAAGGAATGATGGATGAATGAATGAATAGAATTTTACTACAGCTATTTACTATGAATATCATAAGAGCTGTACTAATTAACTAATGATTCTAAATAAAATAACAAGTAATTGTCACCCTGTGACATCTTTCTCTTCTATATCTATAACGTTTGTGTGTCTTTAAGAATATTTGATTGAAATTTCTGATCTACATCAATTTCAAACTTTTTGGAAATTGAAATTATTTGTGTTTTGGATCATACATTCACACTTCGCGTGTGAAAACAGCTTAGGTGGATTGAAAATAAACTTTAAACTATATTTCAATTCAATGTTTTCTCAGACGTCCGTACCGAATTGTATCCGCCCATTTCATCGTCGATCATCATGCAAGTATTTGACTGAAAGATATGAAAGTGACGTAAGCTGCATCTTTCCAGTTAATGTTCCGCATTTATTTATTTCTACGTATGGTGAGTATCTCTTAATTATTGTAGCCCCACCTTTAACCCGGGGCCATGATTTCAACAAACTTTTGTCTACATATACATGAAGTTAATTGTTTTAATATCTTTATCACTAATCATGCATGGCCCTTCTATTCTTAAGAAAGATTTTAAATATTTTTCTTATATATTTAGTTTAATTTCATTATCTCGAATAGAGGTATGTCAAAGTAATTTGGTGCAGTCCAAATAACCTTTTTTCCTTTTTGATATTACCCTTTTTATCTCGGATCATCGGATATCTTGAAGTTAGTGCCTTTGAGGTTCACCTGCATTCTTTTGTAAAACTTTGATCTAATAGATGATTTTCCTTTGACATATTTTGCTTCTGAGTTATCGGCCTTTGCTGCCATCTTGTAAAGGACAAAGCGGTGGATTTTTTTTTTTGGTTTTGTTTTGAGCACCTCCTATTTTTGTATTTATATGAAGCAGAATCTATTCAATAACTTCTACATGAAATGAGGAAATTTCTTCTGACACACCTTGTTCATATTTGGATATTTTACCAGAAAAAGACATATAAATGGCAAATTAACAACAAAAATTTATGATGAACGTAATGATTTCATATTTTCTATCATCAACTTATTAACGTAGCAATTAATATACCATTATTTCTTGTACATGGAGTCCATGCCTCCTAGTTAATTCGATATGTAAGAGCATGCTCTACGTACGATCAATTTCTAAAAGGAGACTATTGACAAATACGTTGATCATATAAAGATATCAACTATTCCGCTGGAAGTAAACACAATAGGCAAATTCTGTGGTCAATACAATGACTTGTTAACAAGTTCAAATGCAATATATCGTTAAGTCGAATATTTACTGACGTTTTTTGTACAGATTGTAAAGCCATTATTCTTACCCTGAATTGTATAATTAATATACAGATTTTTCCGTTTGCCCGATCATGACAAGGAGACACGGCAGGTGTGACCAGTCGGCAGGGGATGCTCACTCCTCCATGGCACATGATCCCATCTCTGATGTTTTTATAGGCCCATGTTTGCTCTGCTTCAAATGCGTTTAATTCCAGTTGACTTCTGACCTTGATTACTATTAGCTATCTTTGTATTTCATTCATAAAAAAGTGTTTTCTACAACTACATGTAAGTACAAAGCATAACAAGTTTAATTTATTAAATGATGAAGGAATTTGGGCCTGTTGACCCACAATTTGGCGACCAACGGAAAATAACTTTTAAAATTATTGCTTCTTTGGAAAACTATCTACTGTGGCCCTACTTTTTCCGGAGGGTCATGATTTGAACAAACTTCAATGTACTCTAGGCACTACTTGACAATGTTTTAATATAAAGAAGATTTTTCACGCATGGCTCTACCGTACATGGGATATGTTCTCTAAACCATTGTTCGACTGTCCATTGGAGCTTTCACATATTTTTTTTTTCTGGTCCTGTGGTCCTTGAGAGAGATTTTTAAAAGATGCCAATGAATTTTTAACTAATTCTTATTATCGGTAGATGACATGGACCTTCATTTGAAAAAAAAAATCACCAATTCTTTCACCCAAAAATGCTTTGTGCATGGCTAGTTTGGAAACAAGTTGAAATTGATCCATTGGTTCTCTAGAAGAAGATAACTGATAAAAAGTAAAAAGTTTACAGACGAACAGACAGTCAGACGGATGCCAGACAATATTTGATTAGAAACCTCAGCTCAGATGAGCTAAAAGGCATTCCAACTATAGTGTAACCAATGTAATGATGGTTTACCTACCCTATAATGGCTATATAGAGGATAACATAATGACAAGGACTTAATACAAACAAATACTTTACCAATGCGTAAGATTTTTCTGGTGTTGCAACACACGTAATCACAAAGTGTTCACTAAATACATATATTTTATTTTCAATATCCTTATTTTTAGTTACAATTAATTAGACAATTAGTTGTTTTTTTTCAAATGACTTTACAAAGAAACTGAATAGATAGCAGTTTTAGTGTACATCATATGGTGTATATTTTAACTGTTTTGAAACATTTTCAATTTACTATCACTTTTGGATAAGTTTGTACACAAGTGATAAATTTGATATTGATATAAAATTATTTAACACAAATAATACATAACTGTCAATTTATCTACTACTACACCATACTTCCTGTAAATGTAATATGATGACATGTAAAGGTTACCATGTATAGCACACTGTACACTAGTATTCACAAACATGAGCCATATATCATTTGATTATCCAGATAATTTGTGATTAAGTGTGTATCAACTGCTTCAAAAGTATTTGGATCTTTTCCATTCACCTTATATATAACAGTAAATGTTCATTCGCTACCAGTTTTGGAAAATGTTTGGTGGATGGTATTTGTAATAACTATATCCAGTAAGCATTTAGGTTCACAACTAGTTATACATTTGTACTTGTGACCGTTAAACGTGCTTTTTCTGCAATTGCCAGAAAGCGTATTGCTGAAGGTCATCATATGAGAAGCCAAAGCCCTGTTATATTATGTAACATCCTTATCATGGAGTTGAGCTATATTCATCACATGTTGTGGATCAAGTCCTTGGTCGTTTACGTAAGTGATCGCAGTCTCTCTTAGGCACTGAAAAGAATACTTCTTGTTGACACCTGCATCCCTGCACAACTTAGGCAAAATTGATGTAAACGTTGTCCTTTGTAATGGAGAAGCTGAATACCATTTTTCAGCGCCTAACGAAATTTCTTTGCTGTACTGATTGAAGAACAGTGTTGCATTATTGTCTGTTTTCTTGATAAGCAGTTTAAGGAGTTTCACTGGGCAGATTCCATTATCTGACTCCAGAGCGTATATCCGTTTGTGTATATGGGCCCCCAATACTCTGTGGTCACTATGTTTTTTTTCCAAAGTTTCATTTTTAACTATAGCATATTCACCATTTTCATCTGTTTGGAACTCAAAACTATTTATTTTTAAATGCTGATGAAATCTTGTACTGCGGGTAACAAAATGTATAGAAAATAAATACCACACAGCTTGACGCAAGATCACACGGGACTTATAGGCACCTTGAAGGTGAATAGAAATTTTCTCCAGGTCACCTCGATCCATCAGCTTTGCATGCCCTGCTGCTTTCGATAATCCTAGCCTTATTCTCATACTAAAAAGCCCTTCCAATATTCCATTTGGTTTATGGAATTCTTCTCCTTTTACGATATCAATCTGTCTTCCCAGATCTGAAAGGTGATGATTAAGGGCAGATCGGATGCCCAATAGTGTCTTCCTCTGATAAAAAGTCTCCTGTGGATTACTACATGTAGGTTTAGGCCTGACCTCACAGTAAAATCTACACAGAAGATTGGATAGAATAGCTGGAGTAACAAGTCTCAAGTCCAATTCCTCATTAAAACATTCTTCATGCCAATCTGAAAAAGAACCCACCTTTATAGAAACAGGAAAAGCATGTATAGTTGAACTTATCTCAAACATCAATATTTTGAAGGGATAAAAGGGATATGTCAAATTGAAACTGCAGTCCAAACCACTTTTTATGTATGTTTTTTTTTCACACTTGACATCTTAAATCCTCTGCTTTCTGAAATTTAAACTTGGTCCCCTTGAGTTCAAAATAAAAAGGTTGGACTGTATTTAATTGACAAGCTAACTCCAGCAAAAAAAATCTAAATTAAGTATTTACTACTCAGGAAATTTACATGTATTTATATATGAGCACCTGTTTCTATAACATGACATAAATATAAGGTACCTTGAAATATCTTTATTCCCCATTGCATGGTCCTTTTGCTATTTTCTGCTGATGCTTTAAATCGTTTAGGGGGTTGATTCTAAAAAATAAAACTGCATATAAATAAATTTACATGTTATGCAAAGCGTACCATTAGGCATACTTCATATAGTACTCCATTAATGTAAAGAAATATTAACTTATTTAGTAAGTGAAAGGTTTCGATTATTTTGTGTTAACGAAGAACAATATATGTAAATAATAATGATACTGTAGAAGCAGAAATATTTGTTGAGGATTAAATTTCCTTTATTTCATAGTCACAATTATCAACGAAATTAAATCTGACACAATTTTTTAGCTCTACTGGTCAGAGACCAGAAGATCTTATGCGATAGTAAGTTGTCCGTCATCTGCCAATCTGTCTGTCTGTCTGTAAACAATTTTTCAAAATGCTACTCCTACAGTTTTGGTCTGATTTCAGTATAACAAGTACACTACACTAAGATACATAATTCTGTGTATCTGTTTTTGATTTCAGTGAACAGTGTTGCCATTGTAACAAAAAAAAAGAAATTTCTGTGAAATACTTTCAAAACGGTATTCCTCCTACAGTTTTGATATGATTTCAGTGTAACTTAGCACACAAGTACACAACACTGTGATACATAATTCTGTGTATCGGTTTTGATTTGGATGAACGGTGTTGCCATGGTTACTAAAAATATAAATTTATGTGAAATACTTTCAAAACGGTACTCCTCCTACAGTTTTGATCTGATTTCAGTATAACTTGGCACACAAGTAGACTACACTAAGAAACATACTTCTGTGTGTATGTTTTTGATTTGGATGAACGGTGTTGCCATGGTTACTAAAAAAAAATTCTGTGAAATACTTTCAAAACGGTACTCCTCCTACAGTTTTGATATGATTTCAGTATAATCTGGCACACAAGTACACTACACTAAGATACACAATTCTGTGTATCGGTTTTTGATTTGGATGAATGGTGTTGCCATGGTTACTAAAAATAGAAATTTCTGTGAAATACTTTCAAAGCGCTACTCCTCCTACAGTTTTGGTCTGATCTCAATATAACTTGGCACACAAGTAGACTAAACTAAGATACATAATTCTGTTTATCCGTTTTTGATTTCACTGAACTGCGTTGCCATGGTTACTAAAAATAGAAAATTCTGTGAAATACTTTCAAAACGCTACTCCTCCTACAGTTTTGGTCTGATTTCAATATAACTTGGCACACAAGTAGACTACACTAAGATACATAATTCTCTATATCGGTTTTTGATTTTGACGAATGGTTTTACCATGGTAACTAAGATTGAAATTTCTGTGAAATATTTTAAAAAAGCTACTCCTCCTACAGTTTGTCTGATTGCAATAAATCTTGAAACAAAAAGAGACTAAACCAAGGATCATTATTCTATTTATTGTTGTTGCAAAGTTTCAAGTTCAAGTGCTTCTTTTCTCTTCCTTTGTTATAAGTACAAACCAGTAGAGCTACAGTCTCATAAGAGACTTCTGGTTTTATATCACTATATCTATTGGGTAACTTTTGAAACAACGAAATTAAATGTCCACGGAACCTTTTTAGTTGACAAATCAACAAATTTTTATCCCCACAACAGTTTATGCTTCTACTGTAGTTAATGTTTATACAGTGTACCTTGTTAAATACAAACATGCACAGGATGAAACTCTGTCATTCAGTTAACTGAAAGGTGACTAAAAGTTTACTAAAAGATGACTATATGGCAGAGATCTGCTATTCAGTCACTTTTCCAGAGCTTTTAGTGACCATTTAGTTTACTGAACGGCAGAGTTTCATCCTATGATGGACACAGCTAGTTAATCACCCACCTCTCCACTTTCTGTATCAGAGTTACTGTTCTTGTTACATAAGTCCATCTTCTCTCCACTTTTGGTATCAGATTCACTTTCTCCACTGCTATCATCATCCACTGACTCTGTTCCATCTTCCACTATCATAATAAACATAGTGGGATGAAAACATTTATGGTTAACTTGACTATTTATATTTTTTGAAAAATGAATTTCAAATATTATTGAAATGAATTACTACAACAAATCAGGAAGAAAATGTAAGCATAAGTCTAAATCCATATCCACTTTTCACAAATTTCATAGTTGATATAAGACCTTGTAAGCAAATACTCAAATGTTGACAGCCATATTTCACACAAATTGTTATGCCATTATTGAAAGTATTCACTATTGTCTATAGATTTTTTGTTGTTTGCCTAATCATGACAAGGAGCACACAGCAGTTGTTATCATACAACAGGGGATGCTTACTCCTCCATGGCACAAGATCCCACCTGATTTTTTAGAGGTCTATGTTTGCTTTGTTCCAAATGTGTATTATTTCAATGGACATTTGAGCTTAATTACTGGGCCCGTTTTACAAAAGAACTTATGACTAAGACCAAAATTTCATTCTGTTAGTAACTTTTTAATTTACATTAAATAGAAAATGGTTTTAATCTTTTTAAAAGGTATGTAGAAAGACACTTTTACTCTAGCAATTTTAAACAGAATCATTGATTTTGCAGTTTTATTATTAACTCAAGTTTTTGGTCTTAGTTGTAAGTTCTTTGGTAATACGGGCCCCTGTTCATTATCTATATTATTTCATGCATTTATTATCAAAAATACCTTCCATGTGTAAACAGATGGATTTTTCAGGATTTTCTGATGATGTATGGCATTCTATAATGAAAGGAAGACTAATATTAATTAAAATGTAAAACTGTGGCCATGCAGCAATAAAAAATAATTTCCTTCATGCACTCTACCCACCTATTAGAGTCATTTAAATCAGATAAATTTTTCAGTACTTTTAATTAATTTTTTATTTCTGTTTCCAGGGAAGTACATTCAGATTGTCTCTATACAAATGTAATTGTTAAGATATCATTTCTCAAACATGCTGTTTAGACTGAAAGTTTTACTGCAATAAATATTAAAACATGTATACTGGTACATTGAAAATTTACTGATGTTTGCATTACATCATTAAATTTTAAATGTAAAACAGTTATCAATGTATTAGCCAATAAAGAACAATATTACCGACCTTTGCCTGTTGTTAAAAGCATGAGTAGGCATGGTCCGAGAAGGACAATTTACAAAAAATTAATAATTTTTGCATAAAGTTGACAACATTGCATCAAAGAAATACAAAAGTAATTTTGAAATTTTATTTAAATTTCAGGACTAATAAATTTTTTTTTCAGGCAAGTAAAAATGTAAAATTTACTTGCCCTACTGGCTAGTGCCTGAGGAAATTTTTGTGAAGACTACATTACCCAGTCAAAGTCTTAATTGTTCCACACTCATCAATCAGAAGAATTTGCTACTTCAAATCTACCCACATAAACAGATTAAAATAATGACAAAGAAGAGCATAATGTATTATTTTCACAAATGTACCTTCAACTCTCTGTACTGCCTCTGATCTTTGTGGACTAACTACATTTGATTCTTCTGGACTGATACCCAGGTTTCCTTTCTCTGACTCTTGCAGACCTTTCTTAGACCTGTAACAAACAGTTAATGTAGAAATAATAAAAAATATTTTGAATTATTGTTTCCTTTAAAGTTTAAACTGAGCTAAAAACAAATTCAAGGTTATCATTTCTTTCAAATTTAACTTAATAAAAAGGATTTTCTTAAAGCTGTATATGGCATATCTGAGCTAAAAAAAAATGAAAACTTATGAGACTAAGTGTAGATAAATATGATATATGTTATTTACATTGAAATATAAATTTCCTCCGATTTTTAAATTGAATAACCTCATGTTCCCATAGTTAAATTGACTTTAAACTGTGTCTGTTAATTAAATGTGGAGTCGGTAAATAAATCAGTTATTGTTTTAACGTTTAAATTTCTAATATCTTTGAAATGTGATTGATTTAAATTGTGTAATTTACAGGAAAGTCCTATCTTTATCATAAAGTTACAAAACAAATAGAAAGATCTTCAATTTTAGTTAGTCTGAATTAACTTATAAAAATACGCCATATATGACTTTAATTAACTTAATCTGTTTTAACTGTGTTCAGAGCTTATCAAATGTTACATTAATGTATTTGTGACCTTGATAAAATAATTTAAAACTTTGTTTCCCTGTCATTCAAGAACAGACATACAAATTATATTAAAAATGAAAGGTGAATTATCACAAAACATATATGTGACCTATTATACACCCTACTCATATAATAATTATTTAGCATAGGCAGTGTGTTACCCTCAAAATGGATTTGAACCCAGAACCCCCAGGCTTGTCAGTCCAGTACTTAGCCTAAAGTGCCATTGAGCTAAAGGGTTAAAACACTAGTAGCCCAAGCTAGTACTAGTAGCTGAGTTGTGGAAAAAAATATATCCAACACTTCCAGAGGTTGTTGCACCCCTTCCTTAATCAATAATTATTACGTGTATATAAACTATAAAGTGATGGCTATGGGCCTAGGAAAGTAATAATTAACTACTAGGTGCTTTCCACAAGTCAATGAAGCATATGCTATCAAGCCATCAAATACATTTCACTCATTACGAACCTCTCTAGTGTACAATCTGTCCCACAGAATCGCTCGTGTACTGCAATCAGATGTTTCACAACAATATTACCGTCTGCCCAGTAAAATCTGCCGATCAGTTTTTTAAATGCACTTGCTGATTCTCCAGTTAGAATGTTTCTGTACTCATTCATCTCGACTAAGATCATAAACTCGTTAAAATCACAGTGAAACACTGCCTCACTGCCCTCAGTCTCTAATTCAAGTTATACATCGGGATCGGGATACCATGGTGGGGTCTAATATCAGGTATACGTAAGTATTACCCAACTGACGGCTAGTTAAGCTGTATCGTAAAATTTGATTGATACTTTCTATTTATATTAATAATAATGAATTCATCGAACTACAAAGTCATTAACAAATCTTAACGGGGGGAAAAAAACAACAACAACAAACAAACACACAAAACACCCCCCCCCCCAATAAAAATAATTAATAATTAATAAAAACAATGGTGAAGCAATGTTATACATTATACTCTTTTTAAAATTAATTTACACTTAAATCTGTAAAATTTATATCTTAATCTGTAAATTTTACACTTCTAATCCGTGTAAGCACATTAATTATTTGCTTGGCATAGTATCACTATGTTAAAAACATTAAATTGCATGCATGATTCTGATCAGTATTATATGAGGTAAAGGGGTGTAATTTATTAGGTTTCTGTCTTACCCGAGGCAGGTTTAATTGATGATCATGATCCAGAAATTGATGGTGGATCCAAAGGGAATGGGTTTCAAGATTTTGAAGATATTTGTTGATTATTTGTTTTCAATGTAACCTCAAACATAATATTTTTAATGAGTGATTGGGACCCAAAATATTTGTAGGTGGATCTTGGGATAATTTCTTATTCTTTAATAATTATGTCTAATTGACTTAAAAGTCATGTGTGAACAAGATCCAAACTTATGAATGGTGGATCCAAGGGGAGTGGACATTAAAAATTTTAAATATTTGTGGTGGATCAAAGAATTTTTATATTTTATTTCAGGGTATATAACTGTATGAGTTTAGATATAAAAATTTAGCTTACTAGAAATGGATGACCATGATCCAAACTTATGAGTGGTGGACGTAAGGGGAGTGGGGATGAAAATTTGCCAACAGCTAGAAATGATTAAAAAGAGTTAACTATTTTCTTGACTGTTTCATATGAAACTTTTTAAACACGTTTCCCTAAAATTAAGGAATAGATACAGAAATGAAAATATATATTTGTAATAACTACTAACTATTATAGAAAGACAAAGAGGAAAATGACGCATTTAAAAAGACAGTCTTTAGGAATCTTAGAGAAAATAAATATTGATATGTGGGTTTTTTAACCCCTTGATGAAGAAATGTGGGGAAAAAACCCCAATTAAGTCATAATATAAGCAATTAACGCATGGGTTAAAAAATCCCACACTGAATTGCATGGGTAAATTTCCCCATGGGGAAAATTTTACACCCCATGGGGTTTTTTGGGGGTTTTCATGGGGTTATTTTAAGTATGTGTTTCCCCATAGGATTTGTATTTTTGCCTCTAATTATCTAAAAAACTAGCAGAAAATGTTGCATTTTTAATTTCATAGATGAATTTATAAACAAAAACCCCACCATTTAAAAAAATCCGAAGATGATAGCTTAAACGGAAAAGGGTGCGCAAGTTCGGAAAAAATGTCCATTCAGAAGTTGTCCGTCGCACTGTTAATTTTTACCGGCAGATATTTGACTGCGTTTTTTTCAATAAAAGACACCAATCAAATGCATAAGATAGAAAATTTGTACACCATTACCTCTTGAATTCTTGATTATGCTCGCTTCAATTAAATTTCATCGACTCAACTGTGCCCCATTTTTACGTGGAGATATCAACTCTTACAACCAGTTAATTTTTATGTTCCCCAAACGAAGTTTGGGAACATATTGTTTTTACTCTGTTTCTTATTAGGGTCTTCCGAGCTTCCTTCGGAAGACCCTACTGTTATTCTACTGTTTCTTATTAGGGTCTTCCGAGCTTCCTTCGGAAGACCCTACTGTTATTCTACTGTTTCTTATTATTAGGGTCTTCCGAGCTTCCTTCGGAAGACCCTACTGTTATTCTACTGTTTCTTATTATTATTTTATTTTTTTTTTCCCGCCGATTTTCAGCAGGCGATTTCTCGGAGACCTTTTGTCCGATTGCTATGAAACTTTCAGGGTAGATACAATGTATTATTGCCTAAAAACGGTTTTTTCAAATTTTTGATATATACCTCCGTTCATGAGTTATTGCCCTTTAATCGATATTTGGAGGGTCTCTTGTCCAGTAGAAATATCAAGAACGACACATGATATTTGCATGAAAATTGGAGAACTTGTAACTAATACATTGCAGATGCGCAGAACATTAAAATTGTAGGCTAATTTTTTTAAGTTCGGAAGCTATGTGACGGCAAGTTTTAAGAATTATTTTTCCATGAAATTTTGCTGCTTTTTGTTTAATAACTTTTAAACTGATAAAAATTTGGTAAGACATATAGAATAAAAGTTGTGTGTAATTACGAGAGCTTTCAGATAACATCAAGAAAAAGGGGCTGGCCCCTATATTCAGGGGACAGCAGGTCATAAAAGTATTTTTTGGATAGCTAAAAATATTAAAATATTATGAAAAAGTTTGAATGACAGAATTTCTAACATATTAAATCTTGTCATGTGGTATAGAGAGAAACAAGCTCCGTGCTATATTTTATTCTGTTTTATAAAATAATTATTCGAGAATCGTACAGGAACAAGTTGTCTACAAACCAGCCACGCCTTATAGGGCATCGTAACACATGCTTGTACGGTTTTAGATAGTTGTTGTGTTTTAAATAAATTGTTTTGATTCCATTTCTCTGTTTTCTATTATTTAAATCGTTTATAAATGCAAGTTATTTACACAAGTAAAGGTAAATCAACATTTACTAATGCATTCGTATAGAAAAAGTCTTAATCGGGGCCTCTTGTTTGTAACCTGGATGTAAACAATCACGAGCGGCATTGTGGGAAGAAGACACTAAAGACCCGATATACGAAAAACGTGATTTGATCTGATGCTTTGTTGGCAAATATTTAAAAAAAAGTGTAGTTTAGTATAGCATAATGCTTCATAATCAATAATTTTTAAAAATAAATCATGTATAACACTCAATCTGATTATTTTATTTTTTGAAAAATCATCAGGTCGAATATCAGGTCTTTAGTATATCAAGTCTTTAGTACGTCCCCGGAAGTAACCATGCAAGTCGGAATTACAGACAGAAAATGAGAAGAAAATATGTTAAGTTGACAGTTGTACATTTTCTTAACGTACGAGCCGTATGTAGACATGCACATTTAATCCACATCTACGAAGCACATAAATTCTTGGTTGCGTACAGGGAGCATTAGTTTTAAAGGGATATATATATTCTTGCGCAAATTGTTTACGAGGAAATTCTGACGATCACATTAACAGCGATGAACAGTCTTGTGTCGGAGTTTTCTGTGATAAATGTAGCGAGTGATGAAAGAGTTCACGGTGACATTTTAATATATGATTGGCGTGGACCTTGGAAATGAAGGTTAGAATTTTTCTTATCTAAAGTTTAACAGCTGCTTACAGCACTGATGTTTACATGTATATGCCAGCAAATGTATAAATGTACGCACAAACACTGATGTATGTTATCTATTTAATGGTTCAGTCTCTGTCTGTTAGCCCTGACATGACATTGTCAAATCCCCATTGCTTTAACTTATATTTAAATGCATGAGAGCATGTAATTTCACCAAGACTTTTTTTTTATTGAAACAAAAAAATGCAAGAATTCAACAATACACTATCTAACATACTGCATGTATAACCATGATAATTATTGTTATATATTCTTCAACAAGTATGAATAGCAGTTATAACTAGGGCCTTAATTAATATTATAATTTGTTATACCTTTAAAAATTTGTTTCTATATAAATCTATACCAGTGTACACATAAAATGTCTAACATTTCCAATGTTTTATGAGCAATCATAAAAAAATCTATGTTGAACCGCAAAGTGAGATATTGAACCTGTCGATGAGATCATTGGACTGCTTACATATTACAGTATCCACGGGATTAGTTAAATCTCATTTGCATTCGTTGGTGTTCGAAAGTTACGGAATTGACAGAGTTTTACCTCAGTGCTGGTAAAGGAAATTTACATCACGGAAGCCAGTACAAAATATATGTATGCATATGTCAAGCAAGAAAAGAAAATAAAAGATATAACAAAACATTTATTAGGGCGTGTTCTCGGGGTAATATGCAATTTGCTGACCCCTTGAACCAAACTGTTTCCCTTCGGCCTAATGGCCTCAGGCAAACAGTTTGGTTCTTGTGTCCGACAAAACACATGTTGCCCTCGAACCCAGTTAGTAAATGTGTATTATTATTGGAAAATCTCAAAAATGTCACTCAGTTAAATTGCAAAAGAAATTTGGAAATATATTTATACATAAAAGTTTGAATTATTTCTGTGATAAGACTGCAGGATTGGTTTGTGTTTTGTTTATTGCCCCTTCAAATTTTTTTTAGTCATATTATTATGCCACCACTTGCTGGTGGAGGCCTGCAAATATAGACCTGTACTTGACACTTATAAATGGCCTTTGGGAAGTGAGGGATCTTTTTCGTGCCAGCACCTTCTGTGACACAGAACCTCGGTTCATACGGTTTCATCCGAGGAACCTATCTCCACATCCAGCTGTGGGATTCGAACCTGCGACGTAAGGATCAGCTTCTTACTGACACTTTGATTGATTGTTTGTTGTTTTACATCTTTCTTGAGTATTTTTCTTTCGTATAGAGACATTACCACATACTGGTGAAGGCCTTCAAACATAGACCTTAATACTTGGCACTAAGGCCCATTGAGCAGTGAGGGTTCTTTATTGTCCCAACATCTACTGTGAGGTTTTTAAGGTCTCATCTGAAAAACCTTTGACTTTCATTCTAATGCTTGGCGCTTGGTGAAGGAACCTTCACTACCTATATGTTTATGTCTTAGGTTTGACACAGCAAATGAGAATCAAGCCTCCTGATTACAAAATGAATGCCCTACAACTAGGCTACCATTACAGATAATGAACTAGATTAATTACCATGTAAAACATTGTTTAGTAAAAAATTAGTTCTTGAAATTAGAAAA